CGGCCGCCACTTCCCCAGGACACGGATGTGTCCCCGCGTCCCCTCCCCCCGCAGGGCGGGGCCGGGCACACGCGTGTGCGGGGACACGGGACGGAGCGGCGCACACGCGTGTGCGAGGGGCTGTGTGGGTGGGTGTGCAAACGGACACGCGTGTGCAAACGGACACGCGTGCGATCCCGCTTGTGTGAAAGAGGGCACACACGTGCAACCGGACGCGTGTGTGCAAATGGACATACGTGTGCAATCTGCTTGTGTGCAAATGGACACACGTGTGCAAACGGACATGTGTGCAATCCTGCTCGTGTGTAAACGGACACATGTGCAATCCCGCTCATGTGCAAATGGACACCCGTGTGCAGACAGACTCACATGCAATCCTGCTTGTGTGCAAACGAACATGTGTGCAATCCCGCTCGTGTGCAAGCGGGCACACGCGTGCAAATGGCTGCACGTGTGCAAAGCAACACGCGTGTGCAGACGGGCCACTCTGCACAAACGGGGGTGTCCGCAAGGCAACACGTGTGCAAACTGCCATGCGTGTGCAAAGCATCATGTGTGCAAACTGCCACACGCGTGCAAAGCGCCACGCGTGTGCAAGCCCATGCATGCACAAGCTGACACGCGTGTGCAAACGGCCGGGTGTGCACAACCCCACACGCCCCCCCCCGCCAAACGTGTCCCCAAGGGCCCAGGTGTCCGAGGAGCAGCTGGGGGAGGGGTGCCCAGATGCTGCCCCCCCCCCCAGCCCTGTCCCTGGTGTCCCCTGTCCCCTGAGGCCAGCGTCCTGTGTCCCCAATGTCCCATGTCCCCCAGATCCCCCCCCCCATGTCCCGTGTCCCCCCAGTCTCGTCCCTGCTGTGTCCCCATTCGTGGTGCCAGGGCCTCCCGTGTCCTGTGTCCCTTGTCCCATGTCCTGTGTCCCATGTCCCTTGTCGTGTCCCGTGCTACGTCCCTGCTGTGCCGTGTCCCTTTTGTCCCACGTCCCAGGCCACCAGAGCAGGATTCCCATCCCTGTCTTGATCCCTGTCCCCATCCCCAACCTTATCCCTGTCTCCATCCTTGTCCCCTGTCCCTATCCTTGTCCCAGTCCCCATCCCTGTCCCCAGTCCCCGCTGATGTGTTCCCATCCTGTTCCCAGCCTGGTCTCGGTCCCGTTCCCATCCCTTCCCGCTCCCATCCTGGTCCCATCCCTTCCCAGTCCCAGTCCTGCTCCCATCCTGGCCCTGCTCTGCTCCCACTCCCACCCCATTCCCGCTCCCACCCCATTCCCGATCCACTCTGCTCCTGCTTTCGTCCCATTCCCGCTCCCGTCCCATTCCCAGTCCTGCTCCTGTCCCATTCCCACTCCCGCTCTGCTCCCACTCCTATCCCATTCCCAGTCCCACTTCCGTCCCATTCCCGCTCCCATGCTGCTCCCATCCCATTCCCATTTCTGGTCCCATCCCATTCCTGTTCCTGGTACCGCTCCCATCCCATTCCAATTCCTGCTCCCATCCCATCCCATTCCTGCTCCCATTCCTGCTCCCATCTCGATCCCGTCCCATTCCCATTCCCGCTCCCGTCCCGGGGCGGCGCTGGCTCCTCCCGCGGTGACTCACGCGGGGCGGGGCCCCCCCGGCCACTCGCCGAGGGGACGCGGGAGCGGCGGCAGCGCCGAGCGCGGCCCGAACCCGCCCGAACCCCCCCGAACCGACCCGGACCCCCCCCGGCCCGAACCCGCCCGAACCGACCCGGACCCCTCGAGCCGAGCCGAACCCGCCCGAACCGACCCTACCCTACCCCACCCGAACGGACCC